ATTGGCCACCGTATTTCACCAAGTTTAGTTTGTTTTTATTTTTCCATGTGATTGGTTGAAAAAGTGGTGCGAGTTTTCTGGATCAATCACAGAGGAAGGGAAATGAAAGCCAGTGCAATCCCCAATTACTTCCAACACTCAATTCAAAATTTCTTTGACTTCTAGTTAACGTAAATTCCCTTTGAAAATAAAAAGTTACTCCAAAAAAAATGTTGTGTACCTCTCAAGATGTGATTTCTCTTGATAATAATCCTTGTGATACAGGTTGTTTAACCTCAAATCCTTTTTTTTTTTTTGCAGCTATGTACAACAACAGAAAAACTGACACAGTTCATGCAGAACACTTTACTGTTTGTGCAGTCAGAATCACAGTCAGTCAACATTACTGAACAGATGGAGACAGCGCTGGACTCCTTACACAATTTGGGACATATTAAAATGACTGGTTCTACAGACAGCACGAAGATTGAAGTCACTCAGCTTGGACATGCTACTTTTAAAGGTTTGGAAAAAATAGCAAAAGAAATACGCTCTGTTGAAAGAATGGAGAAGAGAATGCAGTGGAACCCTTTTCTGACACCTATTTTCGGGAGATACGTCAATTTCAGTGACATAAACTTAAGTGCGACAGCATGCAGAGCAGGCGTGATTTTTGCGAGCTATTGCTCAGTATTTTCTCGTTTTTTACGGCAGCGGAAAGCTGAGGAGAGAAATAAATTCTTACCAGGGGGGTTAGCGACGGTCAAAAGGAAGGAGAGGGGAGGGGGTGGGGCCTCTTTAAGTTTCGCCTGTTTGTTGTTAACTTTTAATTGAGGCTGCTTTATACTTTGTAAGTGGAGGCATACGTAACACTTAAGCAGTGGATAATAATTAATTAAGGTAGCAAAACCGGCATTTTATAGTGAGTGACTAAGAAAATCGCGAGTTGTATGCAGCTGTTTACTGAGTTGTTAAACGCTTGTTAATTTTCATGAGGGAATTTCATTCTTGCAGGGTGCATTGATGTGGACAGCAGTCCCATGATATATAGCGAGCTTTCTAGAGCCCAGGACAACCTCGTGCTAGCCAATGAGCTACACCTGTTGTATCTGGTTACGCCACATGATTTAAGAGATTCACCCCAACCTGAGTGGATGGTATATTACAAGCAGGTCAGTGGGAACAGTTTTTGATTAAGTGTTGAAAGTATTATCAGATTGTAATATACGCTATACGCTATTTGATTGGTTAAAATATCATGCGCCACCTTCCAACCAATCAAATGCAAAACTAACAGGAATCGCGACTTGGTTGCCCGCGTTTTCCCGCGCTGGACACAAGTCACGTGTGTTAACTTTGAATTCTCATTGGTTCCTTTGGATATTACCCTTTCCTCTAGTTGGCCGTTTGTGATTACTTTGGTTTTTCCTTTTAGAAGCGCTATATCGAAAATTGCTCTGGTGGAATTTTATCCCCTGGTTAAAGAAATTATTCCAAAAAGACTGTCTGTTCGTTATGAAGAACGTTATGTTCAATGCTCTTCCAAAACATATTTGAAACCCTGTGTCCGAAAAAAATAAACGAACCTAAGGTGACCTGCCTGGAGGAGTTTTATCGAAGACTTACAGTTGTGGTCGTTTCGCCCTTAGGTATCTTCATTTCGTGAAGAGTCCGAGGAAAGAGTCGCTGAACTTTTGGGAGCAACAGAAAGTTTTTTATTCAGACGAGCCACAGGACAGCGATCGAAAATGGTAAATGGTCATCTTATTGAATTGCGCAGGGGAGTTGGGTCCTTATCACATTCTATTTTATTTCTCTGACATCCATGGCGCGACATGGCGCTGTCTCTTTCTTGTTTTTTCTGTGGAACTTTGATTTGGGGTTTGTTTTGGTAATAGAGGTGTTCATTATGGCTTATTTGGTAGACGTGAAGGGATAGAAATTGTACGCGCAAAGCGAATAACAATCAATATGGCAGTCAAACGTCCCGCGCATATGCAAATGTTTTAATTGTTGATGCGGTGCTTTCCAAGCTGTCAGAACCAGGATTTCCTAGAGAATTTATAAACAGTCACACAGGCTAGAAGGTCACGGTGTTTTAAAAGTGTATACCTTTTTTGATAAACCTCAAAACAAAATTGCAAATTAACAGAACACCCATTATTAAATAAGTTTTGTGTTCGAAAACTGTTAAGTTTTCTTTGTCCTTGTTTTTGTAGCCTTTAACAAAATTCTGTGAACGTTTCAATTTTTTTCGCATATTTTCAGACAGCGCTTGTTTCTGAGGTTTTCCTTTGAACTTTTGCACGGGAAGTTGGCGTGTGGCTGGCCAAAATTGATCCCCTTGCACATGCCTGACGTTTGTTCGCTGTGTCGTAACATTTTTTTTTTGTAATTAGGACGACACTACAGAAAGCAGAGTGAGGCGTTTCTATTTGACCTTGATGCTTTACAAATTGTTACAAGAGGATACTGTATGGAATGTGGCCCGTCTTTTTAACGTAACTCGCGGATTTGTGCAGAATCTGTTAACTTCAGCGTCTTCGTTCGCGTCCTGCATGGTCCACTTCACTCGAGTAAGTTTGTCCCAGCGAGTGATTCAACAAGAGCTCTGTTGGCGGCATTTAATTTTCAGACTTTAGGCTCGAAGTACAGTTGTCAAAGAATTTAGTTGGAGTATGTTGCTCGGTTTCTGTAATTGGATCAGTCGGTTTTGAGAAACTCACTCAAATGAGAGAGGTTTCATGGTTGCCGTTTTATCCCCTGATTGATCAGTTATTCAATTCTTAGACAGATGATGAGAATTAAGGCAACTGATAACCAGGGGACATGGATTTGATAACATACGAAATTCTCTTGTCTAGTTGGGGAAAAATGTTTTGTAATCAAGTGGGAGGATTACTTTAAGGTCCTTATTTGCAACAATTTTTTTTATGTTCAGGAACTGAATGAATTTTGGGGCGTGAATACGCTACTTGAAGTCATGGTAAAGAAGTTGTCTTACACAGCGAGCTTGGAGCTTGTGCCCCTAATGGAAGTTCCTGGGGTGAAACAGGTAAACATTGAATTATTTTCGAAATCAGTAGCTGAACAGCTTTTGTACACCGAGAAGAATAACGCAGGAGAACCCCCAAGGATGAGGGTGAAAAGAGGGGTGAGGGATTTGTTCGCTTTTCCCTCTTCCTCACTCTTTCTTTACATCCGTATCCCTCCCCACTTGCGCTTGCTCCCAAGCTAATTATGATCCGTACGTGTTCGAAAAGATGGACGTTTTGCGGCCAAGTGCAGTGCTCAAAGGGCAAATTATTAAAACAAAGTTTAGTCGTTGTTTGATAAAACCGCGTCCTAATCATTGCAGTCTGTCGGGGGCGACAATGACTGTTTCATTTAGGTCTGGTCAGATTCCTCCACGCTCCTTCTTTCATTTCAATCAGAAGCATACAACCTTAGGTTTTTATGATTCTGTTTTAATTTACTGTGTTTTCCCCTTAGTCTCGTGCGCACCAGTTAGTAAAGGCCGGATACAAAACCCTGACTAGCCTGGCCTGGGCTGACCCCGCTTCGCTCGTGGAACAGATCGAGCACCTCCCCAGACGTCAGGCTAATCAGATTGTCTCCGCTGCTAAGGTAACCAAATTAGAGTTTTTACATTTTTGACAAAATTGCGCCGTTGATTATGGAGATAGAGATGTGTGCGTATTGATTAGTCGAAGATTGTGTCATTTAAGATGATTGTTTCGTCTCTTCATTTCGAACTGACATTTTCTCATTCCTTTCCCCCCCCCCCCTTTAGTATGTTTTTTTTTGTAGTCACGTGGGGCGCACGTGAGTTGATCAATAAACCAACTATGTTTAGAGACCTTGACTTAGAGGTTGAGGTGAATACTTTCGTGGGCTTGTGTTTTCAGAGTCGAGTTCAGGTTTTTTCTTTAACTCTAACGCAAATTTGTCGCTTGTTTTACTTTGGAGTTTAAGACTTTTCGAAGGTTCTATTTCGAGACAATTGTTGTATGAAATTTAATATATTTTTATCCATCTTAATTGATGTCGTGTAGAATCTAGCCTGTTTGTCAGAAAAGGATTTTTGACACCCTATATCCTTTTAAAACGACGATACTGAACCAGTAACTGATCTGTGAACAACTTCTCCTTGAAAACGCACGCAAAATTGTGACCAGTTATTAAGAGAGTCGGTGGCTGACAGATTTGAGGTGTCGTTTTTTAGATGCTTCTAGAAGAGAAAGCGGATGCTTTGCGAGAAGAAGCTGAGGAGATGACAACTGCGCCAGACTTACCTTCCACTGAACAGTCACAAAATTAATAATTTATCCGGAGTTCTTTATTGTTCTGCCTCAAGAAACAAAATCTCAATACGTACATGCATTCGTGCACAGCATTTTAATGATAAAAAGTTACCTGACACTCATCTGTCTACGGAAAGGAAATTATTGCACCTCGGAATTATTTATGGGATTTTAATCACGGATGCATAAATCGCATTAGTAGTAAATGTTTTTTGTATCTTCATTTCGTATTGTTAGCAATGAAGTGATTGTATTTATGAAGGAAACGGCGATCGTATTCAGGTGTATATGGTTTAATTAATTTCTTTTGAATAAAGGTATATTAATTGTAAACAATACCACTGTATAAACTTGTAAAAAATTATTTCGGAGTGACAGATGGAATAGAATTTGAAATGCTAACATGACCACTGCGATATTAAGTTAAGAGGAACTGGAAGATATTTAGAAGTGGTGTTGAAAACAGGAACGTAGAAATTGTTCATCAAAGCTAAATAGCCCATGAAAGACGTCTTAATTGCTGTTTTGCTCATAAACACTTAGAATCCCTAAGGGGCGGTTGTTTTCCAGTCGTCTGCTTAATTGTCGATTAGGTAAAGCTGTTAATTAATTTTAATTAAAAGCTGAAAATGCGGCTTATTACATAACTCAGAAAACTCATAGTAAACTGAAGTAGAAGTGTATTAGAGACAGCTCAGTTCACTAAGTATTGAAACCATGTCGAAGTATCCGCAACGAGCCCTGGCTGAGAGAAATAGGACAGTACAGATGAAAAATAGCATGGAGGACAAGATTCTTCGACAAAAACTCGAGTCTTTCTCGCGAGAAAGAGGCTACATTGACAGAGAGTTGCGTAGGATATCGTTGGCGAGGGAAAGCTTGGTCGAAAGCCTCGACCGATACACCAAGCAGTCTAAATTGATGACGAAGCGTTTGAGCTTGCCATGTTTAGTTGATGAGAGGAGAAAAGATGGCCTCGCGGATCCGATTGGGGGTTTACGTCGACATACTGTTGACATAGTTGAAGATTTTCAGAGACCTTTCGCAGAATGCAAACAACCCCTGAAGCCGCTGGGATGTATTCAAGAGCCAGCGCCGGATTCAAAGAAAGTTGCCACAACACCCAGTAATAAGGTGGGTATTCCTTCCGAACATAAAAACCGCGCACCAAGTCCACTCCTTATAACAAGCATGGAAACCTCACGAGATATTTTAGAATTCCGTTGCACAAGCCCTGTAACCGCCTCCTTGATTCAGTCTGGCATTATCCCTGCTCAAGAGAGGCCGATGCTTCATTCTCGTCAGACCAGCTCCAACGAAACCCCCATTCGTCTTCCTAAGATACCCGGCACTCCCGCAAGGAAGATTTCTACGGGTCAGGCAAACCCGCGGGATGGAATGCTGGCCACAAACCTGAAAAGCAAGTTCCGTCAGATCGGATCAATTGTAATGGCGACTGCGATTTTAAGGGTTGCAAACGAAAGGCGGAAGGAGGAAGTTGGTAAAAAATAACCTTGCTGAAGGTATGGACTGAGACGCCGGTAAAGATGCGATCAGTATTAGTTACAGTATTCAGGATTCAGAAACGGCGTATTATTTTGAATGGTACAATCTCCAGGTGCTTTTATTAAAGCGAAATCTAAGCCGACTAATCATTCCCCGAACTTTCTAAACTGGGTGTTAAACATGGTCGCTCTTTCCGCCCCATGGATCTAAGGCCTAAAATCTAGGTTGGGCGTTGCGCTGTTTTCTTAAAATGCAATCAAAGGGATGTATACCAACAAGAAATCAGACTTTGAGAATTCCCTCTTTGTCGGCGTAATCCGTCGCGCGAACCAAAAGATATCGGTAGCAATTATACTTCGTCCTGGAAGCCATGCGCGCGGTACGCTTCCCAGAGTTCACGAAGCGCCGAAATATCTCCTTCACCGATTTCTAGTGACTCGTGCGAGGTGATAGAGGGTCGGTCCATGGACTAAAAATGAGCCTTCTTAAACTGCTTTTCCAAAGGTTTAAAGACGCTCCTAATATGCGATCTTGAGTCTAACTTCTACGCCATTTTAAACTCCAATACTTTTTCCTGACTGGAAGCCTCTGAGTGAAACGAATGCGAACGTCTCTTACAGGTAAAAAGTCAATATGTACTTTTAATAGGCGACAGATCTCGACTGCACAAACACCCATTTTTTTCTTAATTTATACAATATAAATAACGACACAAACATGTGAAGTATGACATTCATCGTCAATACACCAAAGAGTTTGGCACAATACTATTCTAAACTGTCAAACAATGCATTTATACATGTGTTAAGTAGAACCTTTGCAAAACAGACAGCAACAACTTCACGTATTTACAAAGTTAGGCGGCCAAATTATTTACAACAGTGAAATATATATGTAGCATTCTTTGGGTTGTACAACTTGTATGTGGTCTTGCATTCGACTCGTTTACTGAAAAATGAAATGTGAAATACAAATTGAGAAGTTTACTCTTGAAGTGTCTTTTTATTTATTACATCCATAATGAAATCGCTGTTGATCGTTGCAGTCTGATTTTCCCACAAATCGCACTATTTTCTACTCACCTACCGCGTCTTTTTGTCAGCCAATCAGAATTCAGAATGCAACACCAAAACGAAAAAGAAACAATCCGACTTAAAAACTTGTTCAAACTGTAGAAAAATAAAAGGCCAAAGAACCCGTTGTGTGGTGACTTCGATAACTTTTGTTACCGATTTTTTTTCTTCTAAAAGAAACCAATAAATAAATAAATGAGTGATCAGAAGAAATCAGCGATAGAAAAGAAAGACGGAATTAATTTTATGTTCAGTTTCTGAATAACGACGAGCTTCGGCAAGCTGGAAGGATCACCAGTGTCGTGCAAGTCTTTTTCTGAAATCGTACTTGAAATTTCATATCCCACTAAAGCTGTGCGCTCGTTAACTTCGAAATCACAAGTATGATCTCAGACCAACTTGACCTCCACTAAAAACATGGCCATTGTCAGACAAGTGACCAAATCTTAGTTATACGCGCACGCTAGCCTACGTGGCAGTCTTTTCGATTCCCTATTTGCTGAGGTATGGAAGAGTTAGGTCTCTTTTTTTTTCTCTCTTTCTGCCGCTTTGCCCAAGGAAGCAGAACTGTCAGCTACGCAAACTTGCCGCAAACTCTCAACCTCGTTCCCGGGATCCAAGGAGCGAGAATATGAGAGACCCTAGTACTAGGATAGGACATCTCCTTTGTCCTTTCTTTCACTTACCGCTACTACAAGAGTTTTCTTTTCCTCGTCGGCTGTTGTCGCACTTGTAATCGTTCTTGTTATGTCAAGTGGGGTACTTTCGATTTCTACTCGTCTACCGCAGAAAGTCTGGAAAGAAAAACACGTGTAAACCTTAAATGACGCAACATTGGCCAGGAAAGGTGAGAGGGTTTACATTGAAAGTTACTCCCCTCCCCCCCGGCGAGATCCTGAATGAGAGCCCCCCCCCCCCCCCCAGATCCCCACGGATATACCCTGGCTTTTCGCTTCGAAGATAAGTCTGAGAAACTTTTAAGCTCTGACAAGTGCAGGTAAAGTTACCTACAGAGAATGTTTCAGTTTGACCTAAAGTAATATACACCCTTTTCCTATGATTTACTTACAGTTGTGTTGAGGTCTTCTTGTAAAGTGTCGTGGGAAATCTCGCTGAAAAAAGGAGAAAAGAGAGAGAGTGGAAAAGGTTAACCATTATATTTGAATATTGGGAGGAGAGATTGCGGTGAAGCTTGTGAATGGTTTTTGACTACTACCATCCAATCAGAAAACAGTGCTAAACAACTGTGACGTCTCTTGCTACCATGATATTGCTTAGACCTTTGTCAGAAAAAATAGATACCGACTGAAAGACATTTTTCTTCGAATACAATGAGATAAAAAACACTGAGATAAAAACTTGTTTCTTACCCAGAATAAACTCTACCCTGAAGTCTTGAAGCTTCTATGGTGCTCAACTGCTTCTCTTTTGCAGCCTGAATATATTGAACAAAATAAAATTTAGGGTGAAGGAAAAGTTAGACTACGGGAATTCTTGTGGCTCAGACGCCAAAACATCACTACTGCGCTCTGTGATTGAAACTGAAAACGCACGCCTTTGTCTAAACCAATCAAATGCAACTGAAACCAATCGCGACAAAGTGACTCGCGTTTTCCTGCGCTTCAGGTAGTTTGATTGTTTTTACGGAGTTATTAGATCCTCGTAACATTTTCCTTTGGTCAGATTGGATGTTGTAATTATTTTGCTTTCAGACTTTAGACATCGTCTAAGAAAGCGCTCTGTATCTCTCGTCACAATGCAAGCTCGAGAAAAATTACCGAACAGTTTAACATATAAACTGCCGTAAAGGAGACAGAAACGTCCATTTAAAATCAATACTCACCTTGAGAACCGCGTAGTCCGATGTTCTGTCGACATAATCACAAAAATCTTTGTAGGCCTTTTCTTCTTGGCGGTGACTTTCTTTGATCTGCGAAATTAAGGGAAAATGAGAAATTTAATTATTCATCATTTCAACAGAATTTTTATCTTAAATATGACTTCTTTACTTAGATTTTATATTCATATAGATATATGCTTGTATGTAAAATGTTTCTGTGTGTATATGTATATTGCAAAGTATTAAATATTTATATCTGGGGTATAGTTTACAATGAGGATTAAGTTCCTCCCTTCTATTACCCTTTTTAATAATAATATATTATATATGTTATTATTTAAATAAAGTTGTTATAAAATAAAATATGAAAATAGATTGATACAGCGGAAAAAATGGGAAAGTAGGCCTTGATCAACGAGGTACTTCCATCAAAACTACGACTCACTGATTCATAATACTCCTCCTCTTCAATAAGTTCCTGGTTTCGCTGAGCTTGAATAAGTTTATCCTGCGGGGCAAAATAAAGATGTAAAAACAACAACAACAACAACAACATTTATCACTGACTTTCCTTCGACTTTCCAGCTGACACATTTTTGCACCTCTCACTGCCTACACCCACCAGCACTTGACTGACCAGGGTACATTACTCCCACCGCCTTGTGGCCCCTGTTTCTAATTCAGCCGTGACCCCCCCCCCTAACCCTTAAATGACCGACCTGAGTACTGGACACTCCAGCTGCTCTTTCACCCTACACCCCCCCCTCCATCTTCTTCTAAATTACTCACACTTTCCTGTTGATTCAGTGACACATTCCACTCTTGCCTCAACATAACTGTCCTTAGTTCTGGACCACTCCTACTCTCTGCAGCCCCAGCCCTGCCAGTCATTTTCCCTCCCCTTCCTAGCTGACTTAGCTCCCCACCCCTCCCTCTTCCTCCCTACTGAATTCACTCTAGTCACCTTATCGCCCGTGCCCTCTTTCAAACAATCCCGCCCCTTTCCTACTCCCTAAATTCCCGTTCCTCCCTCTACTTCGTTTTATCTAAGTGACCTGGGTACTGGACACTCCTGCGGCTCTATCGTTAAGTATTCTGGAGATATCCACCATACAGTCGGCATCAGGAGACACAGGTCTGATGTTCTCTTGTTCAAGCTCGACCTTAATCTCGTTCCACACTTCAAGCATCTGAAGAGAAATGTCAATCAATGCGTCAAATTGATCATATATCACATCAGTTATTCAACAAACTCTTCCAACCTAATCCCATCTTGAGGATGAAAAAATATATATCCATAATGATTCATGAAATCTTACGCGAAGAAACTTATTATTGCTACTCCCCTTGAATGGAATGTCAGTCCATCGCAAGATTACCCTCCTCTCCCCTCCCTGGATTCCCTTACATTTCATCGCTACCAATCTATACTCTTAAATGGAGAGAGGCACTGTGACAGCAATGTAACTCGCTCAAGAACGCAATACAATAAACTCTGCCATAGTAAAGACCTAGGCCCAGTTGTATAGAGAGCGGATGACGCTACCCAGCGGATAAGTACGAGCAAAACGTGCTTCGTCATCCAGCGGGTGGAGATTTATCCAGGGAGTGTTGCAATCCAACCATCGAACAACTGGGGCCTGGACACCAAACAATTAATCAAAATGTGTCCATCCTCACCTTGAAGTCGAGGTATTTTTCAATTATTGCCACTGTGACGTAATCCACAGTTGATAAACCAGGAACTGCGTTAAAACCTGAACGTAAAGGGAAACATATCCGTTTAGGAAACTTAACCACATCAGTATACTCGGGTGCAGGACGCCATAGATCAGTAAAAACTCACCAAGCTTACAAAACATGGAGTAAATCTTAGCTCTCATGTTCTCAGACACGTCCACGATCGCTTGGCTAGGCCGGTCAGCAGGTAGCGGGATAACACCTTGTCGCTCTTGGACTGTGCCCATAAGAGGTTTCTTTAGATCTGCAACATGAAAATGAAAAACAAAAAGGAAGTAAGTTTTTAAAGAAACTGTGCTGCATCGGTGGGAGAGTACAACAGGGTAATTTAGTATCATCAACTGAGTTGATAACGTTTTAAGCTTTAAAACTCTTTACGGTGGCCAATTTACGTCATCATTTTAGTTGATGGTAGTTAATTATTTCGTTCAGTTACAATTCGATAACACTGAGCTAGGTCACATACTGAGTTCATACGCGAGAAGCGTACTGCAAATTGTGTCCCCTATCGTCTTTCAGTCATTTGTCCCTATAAATCCGCAGTGAATCAGCCAGTGCCAGGCTTTCTCCATTCGTAGAGACGAGCGAGTGAGCTGGCGAGAGAATATGGGCGGGGTTTGAATTAGGAGTTCTTCCTTCCCTCTCCTTAGTCTCTCCCCGTTTTTTCTCTCGCCCGCCCTGCACTTTCCCGGTAACTGACTGCCTGCACAGGCTTCAAATATATTCTTGATCCTCCCTCAAGCGCGTAAAGGTAAATCAAGGATAAGAGAGTGAAGAGGTAGTTACCTGTTACTTTGCCAATTTTATCTCTAGCCACACCCATGTTTGCTTCCTCTTTCTTCCACAATTCCACCAATAGTTTACCGGCTGTAATCTGCTTCTTACCGCGCCAGGACTGAACATGCGCCAGAGCCTGAAGGAACAAAATATAAGAATCAGGGCCCAGTTGTTTGAAGGGCGCATAACGCTATCCAACGGATAAATCGCTATCCAGCAGATAAATGATGGCAAAACGTCGAGCGTTATCCTTCGGATAAAGATTTATCCTGTGGATAGCGTCATCCGACCTTCGAACAACCGGGGCCACGATGTTCATGGGTGTATAGTTGTCGGATTTTCTAACAAATTAAGTTAGAATAAGAGAGATGGTAAGTTTTGAGCTTGGTAAAGAAACAGAGAAAGATGTTTTTCGTCTTGTCACGAGCGTGGGACAAAGAAAATTTCTGAGTCCCCATGAGGAATCAAACCTCATATCTTCGGATTCCGCGCTCCGATGCTCTACCACTGAGAATCTACGGAGAGCGAGGTCTATTACGAATT